CAGAGATCTCTGGTGGCCTAGTGGAAAGGAGCTGTGCTGCTAACCTAAAGGCACACAGGTTCGAATCCACTAGCTGCTCTATAAGAGAAAGATGTACAGTCTCCTCCCGTGTTATTTACTGCCTCTTAAAACCCACTGAAGGATCAGCTACGAGTAATTTCCATTTCAATGGTATATACCAACAGCAACAACCAACATAACAAAAAGTCTGTGTAGAAAGAAGATCAACAAGAGTGAGCTATTAAGAGGCAAGGATGGTGAAACTTCATCTCACTTAAGACATATTTTCACAAAGAACTAATCCTTGGAGAAAGACATCATACTGGGAAAGGTGGAGTGTTGGTGAGAGAGGAAGACCATCCATAAGATGGATTGACTCAGTGACTATCACAATGTGCTTGAGTAGGACAGAGATCATGAGGATGGCACAAGAGAGGGCAAGATTCAGATCTGTTTACAGGGTCACTGTAAGTCATAGTTGACTTGACACCTAACAACAACTAACAACATGCAACCTGTAGATAGACTAAGCCAAGAGACCATTGTTTGAACAAAAACAGAAAATACTTTATGTTTAAAATGATAAAAGGTATGAGTCATGATTGGAAGTAGGAGTGGCATCACTTCCATAATAGTTTGCTTCCAGAAACCCTATGAACCTGGAGAAAGGATGAAAGCCATACAGGTGTTGAGGACTTTCTTTCATAGGGTTGCAGTAAGTCGGCTACGGTTCAATGGCACTTAACAACAACAACAACGAGTCATGATTATATCTTCTAACTATACTTGCGCAGTCTTTATATTGAACAAATAATCTGAGAATCTATTCTATATAAAGAAAGAATGCAGCATCAGGATTGGAGGGAGATTTACTAGTAACCTGTAATATGCAGATGACAGCCTTTCTTCTGAAAGTGAAGAGAATTTTAATCACTTATTGGTGAAGCTCAAACTACAGCCTTCAATATGAGCTATAGGTCAATATAAAGAAAGCAAAATATTTACCACTGGATCAATAAATGACATTATGATGAGTGGAGAAAATACTCATATCATCAAATAGTTCATTTTCCTTGAATTCACAATCAATGGCCATGAAAGCAGAAATCAAAACTCAAACAATATGTTCTGCACAGGGCAAATCTGAAACAAAAAAGACTACTTTGAAATGTTTCAAAAGTAAAAATGTCCCACAACCAGGAAAGAACTAATATATATGAATGGTACTTCTAGGAAACATACATATCTGCATATACATAAAAAAACTTCAGTAGGGTAAAATGAAATCCAAAGACTGAAAACAATATTCAGCAATAACATCTGATAAGAGACATAAAAAATTTATAGAATACTCCAACACCTCAAGAAGAAAAATAGAAATGACCCAATTACAAAATATACACAAGATTTGAATAGATACTTCACCAAAGAAGACATTCAGAT